AGGATTTCGTTGAGGGAGACACCAGGGATTGTCAAGGGTGGGGCTTCGCAATAAAAAATGCAGTACATCGAAATTATCAGTGATATTATCACTGAGAGGTTTACCGACCTATCTATCTACCTACCTATTTATCTATCTGCCTATCTATCTATCTAGCTATCTATCTACCTATCTATCTATCTACCTACGTATCTAGGTACCTACCTACCTACCTAGGTATCTACCTACCTATGTATCTATCTCACTACCTATCTATCTATCCACCCACCTATCTATCCATCTATCTACCTATGTATCTATCTATCCACCTACCTATCTCACTACCTATCTGTCTATCTACCTACCTATCCATCTATCTACCTACCTATCCATCTATCTACCTACCTATCTCTCTATCGGCCTATCTACGTATCCACCTATCTATCTATCTCTTGCTACCTAACTACACTAGAAAAATATAGGTTTATTATGAAACTTATGCGGGCGCTCAGATCGTCTAAGGTTCCATGTCGATATAGGAAACCCTAAAAAAGTTCAGTAAAGGGTGTGGACAGCTCTACAATAATTACCCACACCCACACCCGCACCCACCCTCAAGAAAAATGTTTTGCTCTTGATGCATTTGTTACCTGTAAAAGCCAACACAAACAAACTTTGCATGGCATACCATTTCGTCCAAGAGAAGGTCAAAGACCTCCTTTTCTATGTTATAGCTGTGGATGTGACTGTCAACAAAGAGAATAGCGACATCCACACTCTCATTATGCAAATAGAGGCTCTTTCCTTGTTGATGATAAATTTTCTTCTGTTCTTTTATCGTGAATATTTTATAGCTAACATGTGTAGTCCTTCTAAATAGAATGTGTAGATAAAAAGTATTAAAAAAGAAATGACAAAAAAAAAGCAAAAGGCAATAAAAAGAGGACCATGTACTGATAAGAAAAGAATTATTTAATACACAACACACTCGTCTAACTCACACGATAATCGACCAAATCGGAAGAAACGGCCAGTAAAATTAACTCTGTATAGTTGATTTATATTATTCGACTTCAATGAGCACCTTATCAAGAGAATTTCTTAAACTAAAGAGAATATGTTAAACGTCATCAATAAAGTTACAGAGTATGCCACCGATGATGAGATTTCGAAGAAAAATACTATAGACGCTAGTTAATTTAATATATAATTCTATCAAATGTTCGAATTAGTTCCTCTAGGTATCTCTATAGAATAGAAATGATTCAAATCATTATTTCTTTCCAAAAGCAATCTGTGAGTTCAGTTTTACTAAAACTTAACATGTGAAAATCTTGTAGATTATTGACTTACGATTAGCAACAACTCTTATTATAATCTATTCAAGTGAGAAATTATACAATTCTGCAACCTTGAACTTCCTCGAATCCTAAGGATCTTCTATGATTCTTTAGAATTCCAAGGTTCCTCTGGATTCTCTGAAATTTTTCATGATTTCATAGAATCTCACATTGTTTCCTACAATTCTATAGAATTCTCTTGAATGGGTGTAGTTGTGGATATGGCTTCTCTATCATCCACACTCAAATGCACACTTACATCTACATTCCACCCACACCCACGCCAACACCCCACTCACACTCTACCTCCAAGTTGTACTTGAAGTAAATAGTTTTTTTTGTTCTAGTATTAACGTATTTTTTCGATTATGAGTGGATCAAAAGATCACGACGAGTGGAATCCTCGTTTAATTGAAAATACTTGTGATGAACCTGAAGCTGCTCTACAACCACTTGAAGATTATCAAGAGTTAGAACTCATTTCCCTCGAAGAAGCTATTGAACCAATAAAATCATTGTTTCGTAATTTACCTCGTGACGTTTGGATTGCTAAAAATGCATCAAAGAAACCAGGCGATGGTCTTTCTTCTGATGAGTCTGCTGCTATTCATCTTTACACCATGGAAGTAAAAGCTCGAAGCCTGTATTCAATTTTGAATGAGATGTTACGAGATAGAGATCGTCAAAAACTAAAACCATGGTTCCCTTATCTCAAATTATTTCTTACTGCGCTTTTTAAAATACGACCATGCTCAGTGAAAGTAATCTATCGTGGTGTTAAGGCTGATCTTCACATGAAATACCATGATGGTGAACGCTACATATGGTGGGCTTTCTCTTCGTGTACTCTATCACTCAAAGTTCTCCAACGACCCATGTATTTGGGTGATTCAGGCCCAAGAACTCTCTTCAATATGGAATGTATGAATGGGAAATCCATCAAACCACATTCATATTATAAGACAGAAGATGAAATTTTGCTTCTACTCGGCTTTTATTTCGAAGTTGTAAGTAAAGTGAATGCAGGCAATGGTTTGTACATCATCCATGTTCAAGAACTCATTCCACCATATGTTTTTCTTGAGCCGCCATTTTCGAATGATTTACCAACTGTAAGTGGCTTTCTTTCTAACATTTATATAATTCTTACATATATTCGTAGGCTCTACATCAAATCAATATACAATCAGGTAAAAAATCATTTCGTAGAAATAAAACCCGTGTAGTTTAGCTTGAAATAATATAATGAGATATCGTCAGTCATTGATAGAAAGGAGAAAAATAGTCATAATCTGATCGTCCCTTTTTATTTTCAAATGTTCAGGAAAAAGCGTTTGGACACTTATAAATTCATACCATTCAAATGCATCAATCAATATCTGAGAAGTGAAACCCAAGACTATGAAGATCTTAAAAATAGGATCAAACCTTCAAACCAATAATAAGAAGCTCATACATATGTTTTCTTTTGTTCACCATTTTTTTTAATGAAAAATCATTCCTTTAAGTGACGATTGCACCAGAGTCTCAAACTTTGATTTTACTCGAATACAGACTCATCCTAGTGTTATTTACGCCACCTTGAACAATACTGGGCAACATCAGTCAGGAAGGAAACATTCATTTAGGATTTATAGCATCCTTTGAATAAATAGTATTGTTTTGTTTTGAATTCCAGCAAATTTTTCCTATCTCGCTTCGATATGAATGTTGATTGGGCTCGAGTTTTCTCTGGTTTTGTTTGCGATAGACCTTCTGTTTTGGAGTTAAACCACTAAATAGAAGTATTGATTTTGATATCAATAGCACCAAGTAGAATAAATATCAATAATATCGTGCTCTATTTGTTAAGATATATCAAAATCACATCATGCCGCATCCAGTATCAAGTCAAGTATTACTACTGCGTCAAAACCTATAGCGCCAACAACAGGGGCGTCTATTTCCTCATCAGAATCTCAAACTGTTTCAAATCGAGGTATGTTGCTTTGCATACGACTAAAATCTTCCTTCAAAAGAATAAATTTCATAGTTCCTATCATTTGCCTGATGCACTATGTGGGTGTAGATATGAGTTTAAAAAAAGAATCAAACCTACACCCTATACTCTCTATAGATGAAACTCAATAGAATTTAAAATTTTATCTCTACGATTGTCTAAAACTATTCATGTAATGTCATTAGATTTATCAAATGACTCCACGTGTCAGTTGATCGATCTTCATTTCTACAAATTTGATTACATCCGTAAAAGTGTTATGTGAAAAACACTTATTGATGAAGAACCATGCCACTAGTTAGAACATTAGAATAGACTTAACATGGATGTTCCATATGAACTCCTGAAGGTCTGTTGATAGGATCTATTTTTAAAAGGAATACTTCATTCCAAAGGATGACTAAGAAGTATTGAAGTGTAAGGAGATGCTCGGAACTGATAATTGTTTTTGAATGACAGAACGAGACAGATAAGCCAAAAGAAGAGGAAAATATTCGTTTTCGACAGATAAAAACTAGCCTTGCACTGTTTGAATAAATAAAGACTAATTTTTCGATATTATTTATTAGTTTGTCATGAGTTTCAAGCAGGGTATAGATATGAAGACAATTAATGTATACACATCAAAAACATTTTAAAAATAAATTGAATAGATTCTGATGCTGTCAACTTAAATGGCTTTTTGAGGTCATACTTAAATTAAAATGTAATTAACATTTTCCATGAATACCATTGCCTTCTGGGTTTATCAAGAAATGTATCGAAAGTTTTTTTTCATGACTAGTGTTGGTTACAAGACAGAAAAACTAAAAAGAGTGAGAAAGATATTTTATTCTCAAACAAAATTCAGTGAACCATCAGTGCTTCTCACCGAATAGTCGACAACACCTGAACGCCTCGTGTAATTGAAATGAAGTTGCTTAGAATATCGAAAAATACGTTTATAGACAACAGCAATTTCTCTTAAAAGAAAATAAACGCTACAAAAGCTTTCATTAAGTAGACTTTGACGTGAAGGGTAAATATTCAAAAAAATACTCTCTATATGAAACTCTTAGTACTAATCATTTTTAGATCCCTTGCCATTTTTAAAAATTGTACCAATGTTTAAGAAATATTGGAAAAGGTTATTTAGTTTTGGCTAAAGTGTTGAGCTAGGGTGTGGGTGTGGGTGTGAGTCTGGGTGTGGGTGTAGGTGTGGGTGTGGATGTGGGTAACGATGGTAGTCTGCTTTCCACCTACACCTACACCCACACCCACACCAACACCCACACCCACACCCACACCCCACACCCACACCCACACCCCACACCCACACCCAAAAAGACTCTGAAGGTTAATAATCATGTCAGAAAATCAAAGACTATTAAATATTACAGAAGAAAATATTTTTTATTCGCTTAAATTTTGAAAAAAAACTGATTACTAGCCTTCAGTAAAACCTTCGTATTTTTGAAACGCGGACAGCTATCGATCTTGGCCTTGCGTGGATCGATAGCGGCGAAGACAAGCTATCTTTCTATTATATTATAATTAAAAAGGCATGTTGTATTTATATCAGATTCGGCTCATCTTCAAAGATCATAGTGTATTCAAGAGGAAAAATGACTGAAATTTTTCATCGACCATATGAAAAGATAGAGCAACCTCGACTCTTTCTAGTGTATAAATATCAGCTCTTTATCTTTTGTCATTATGGAGTTATTCAAAAAATGCTCACGGCCATCTATCTCTGAAATGGACATTAGTGGTAAGTAAACGATTTTATTCACCTATGGTGCTCACTTTACAAGGATAGATTTCCCGTGTTTCTATTGGTGAAATAATACACGGCAAATGAATAATTCGCACCATAATATTTACAATTACCATAAAAGTTATTTCAACAGTTTTGTTCGCGTATGTTATCCATGGTCGTTGGAGTAAAAAAACGGAACTTCATAAGTTTTTCTGACATTACATGATAAAAAAATTACTTCTATCACGACAACCACCAAAGTTTCCTTTGATCATCTTGCAATAATTGATGAAAACGTTTCTTTTTCATAAGCTGCCCATAGATAACGTAGAAAACGAATCTTTATAACCAGCGTGACAAGTCACTTGTTCAGGTATTTCTCTCATTCCTGAGTAAATGTTTTCACTTTGTAAGTTGATCGAGAGTCATGTGAAAAATGAACTGAAATAAGAATTCTAGTGTTCCACTATTGTACTCACTTTCGAACGATACTTTTGAATTAACGAGTCAATTCAAAACAAAACAGAAAATGAATCAGCAGAACGACCACCACAACCTAAATACTGTTCAGAAGTTGATGTTGAAGTTTTTTGCGCAGTAGGTTGTTGTACTAAATAAAAAAGAAGTACAAGTTTTTCTCAATAAATTGATTTCAATAGTCAGTCAATGTATTTCTCTATAGCGCTTTCGACCTAAGCTTGATTCCGGGGTGCGATGCCCTTAAAATGCCTTTTTAAGCGACCAATCGTTTCTAGGCACATGCCCAGAAATTTTCTCAGCGGAAAGACATCGTGGGAAGGGTGTGGGTGTGTATCGTCTTCTATACACCGACACCCCATACCTCATCCACATCCGATTTGATTGGCTTCACAAGGCTCACTTTTGATTAAAGTGACACATTCGTCCTGCAAACCGATCTCCTTTTCTGTGATAAAAGCTAAAACTGTCTTTCGTATAGAATTCAAATCATCATGTCAATAGAAAAAAAGTGACGTATGCTCTTAACTTAACTCCATAGTATTATTGAGCAAACTCATCTTTCCCCAACTGGATGACTGAATGGCTAAATATTGGGGGTACATTTCGAAATTTTTCCGTCAAACGCTTTACTTTTCGATCGGATGGGTACCATATTCGGAATTAGCGTAAAAAACTGCGTCGAATAATCTACATTTTATCAAAAATGGTTAACCATCACAATTTGACCTGTACACTACCTCAAGGCAAAATTTACTAAGAAAAGGCTGAGCAGGGGCACAGGCTAGATTGTGATAGTTCACTATTTTTGATAAAATGTAGTTTATTCGACGCAGTTTTTTATGCTGATTCCGAATATCGTACCCATCCGATCGAAAAGTAAAGCGTTTGCCGGAAAATTTTCGAAGTGTACCAACAACATTTAGCCATTTGGTCATCCAGGTGAGAAAGAAGAGTTTGCTCAACAATGCTAATGAGTTAAGTTAAGAGCATGCGTCACCTTTTCCTATTGATATGATGGTTTGAATTCTATACGAAAGACAGTTTTAACTATTATCACAAAAAAGGAGATAGGTTTGTAAGACGAATGTGTCAGTTGGTCAAAAGTGAGCCTTGTGAAGCCAATCAAATCGGACCACAGTGAGCAAATTTCATCAAGCTCATGTAGTTATCACATTTTTTTATGCTGAATTCGAATAAAATGGTTTCAGCGAACAATGGTAAGTGTAAGTTAGAGTAATATTTGCTTTTATAAAAAAATGACAATTTTTGTTTTTTCTGGAGACTTTCTTTCATCTTAAATTTTTTGTTTAAAACAAGCTCTAAAAAATTAAAAGCTACATATTCGTAATCAGCATTGTGAGCTCTATCCATTGATATATAACTCAATTAAATATAATTTTTGCTCGACTTTTGCATTAGCAGCACCTTACTATACTGTTTAATAATAATAAAAAGAACAGAAATTTAAATTTTATGATAAAAAATTGATATATAAGCTTCTGTTTGTAATCAGATTCAATAGTAGCTCGATAGCATGTCTTTAGATGAAATAATTTTTTTAGTTGGAATACCATAAAAATTTTATAATGGAACGAATCGTTGGTATGCAAAGCGGAACCGACTTCATTTGATTTTAAATTCGAACGGGCTCATTGAAACCTTTGATTTAATCGGCAACAACTGATCGGTTCATATAAAGAATTGAAATTAATGGCACATTGGTCTGTTTATAATACAACAATTAACTAATTATTTAGTTCGTTCGAAAAGAATTTTTTGCATATAAAATTTTATCAAGTCTACAATAGCAATTACTGCAATACCATTTGGAAAAGACATTCTGTTTGTAAAGGTTAAATTGATTTTTTGCAAGATTGGCATGTCAAATAAGTTAAGATGAAAAAAGATTTCAAAAGTTCTAGTTTATCAATGAATTTATTTATTTATTTAACCGAGTAGAAGAATGACACTTGATTAAAATAAAATGATAGATGGTTTTTTTTATTTTTGAATTATTTTTTAAACATCAATAACAATTATTTGATAATCATTCATTTCAGTATCAACTGTTGGATCAATTTTAAAGTTTGCTGGATAACTTGATTTTGTTTCTACCATTTTATTTTGATGTTTTTGATGAGTTGATTTTCTTGCTGGTAATATATGATCAGCAATAATAGCTTCAAGTTTATATTCAATATTAGCTTTAACACGAGCTGTATCAAGCCAATATTCAAAGCGACAAGGATATTTTTTTGATGTACATGTAAAATCAACTTGATCAATAACATGACCTTTTTCTTTATCTTCAATAAGTTCTAATTTAACTTGTGTTCCCGGTAAATCATGACCTTTACTATGATTATGATGAATAATTTCACCACGAATAATAACAAATCCTAAAAGAAAAGAAGAATAATTTTAAAGAAATCAAACATTTATCAAAGATGAATTTGGTTCGGTTTGATTCCAAAAGAAACAACATAACAAACCAATCTCATCTCGTTTCATTTCTATAAAAAATATTTACTAATTGCACGCATATTGAAATCAAGTGTATCAATTTCCTTTTCTGATAATTTAACATGATTTTCATATATATAAGCTGGTTGCCATATCATACTAACAATGTAAAAACTTTTTGCATTTTCAAGTTTAAAATCATGATCAGTAAGTGCAATTGAATAATTCAATGGAAATGTACTAGTTGTGATAGGTGTTAATGAACTATGAAGAATTGTATGATTGACATATACATTTATTGAAAGTATCATGCCCATGAGATTACGTACTGCATCACCTGATGGTCCAAGAACTTGACCAACAAGTAATGTTTCATTTACTAAAAAATTTAAAAAAAACGAAATTTAAAAAGAAATCCAGGAGAATTTTATCTTTTAATTTAGCATACATGGTCCTTTACGAATAGCTTTACCATCAATAGATAATGACCAACTAAGTACTAGTAATATAAAACCAATCCATACTCGTTGCATGTTTGTAAAGGTTGTTCGAAGACAAAAAAAATAAAATGAACTAAAATAAAGAAAATGCAATGATAAAATTGATTGAAACAATGATAACATAGAATATATCACAGCCATATGTAGTACTTGTTCTTTTGTAGAACTATTGAGTAAAAACAGACACAGAATGATATTATTCTTTTATCTGAAATATTCAAAACATATGTAAGAAAAAAAGATACATTAATGATTTCAAGAAGATTTATATTATTTTGTTTAACAAACAAAAACTTGAAAAAATTTTTCCATACAGATTTTGTTTGATAATTATCTTTCTTGTTCTATAAATAATAATAACGAAATGAAAAACAAATTACGAAAGATGTTTAGTAAAAGTAGTTAGAGAATTTCCTTGTAGATATGTTTTATAAAAAGATAACTAAATGAATATAACTTTAGAAAAAAAAGTTTATTATGAAAATAATTTTTTTTAAATAATTGATTATATAAAATTTAAATAAACACTTTTTTAATTAAAAATATTGATATTTGATTCTGTAGATATTCACATATGTCTAAAATTAATTTTTATCAAACATTCTTTTGTGTTCTATTTCATCAAAGTTAGATAATTAATACCACATCTACATGTATTATTTTGTCTTAGAACTAAGTCATACATGTGAAACTGACAATTATATAAATAAAATTCTGATTTTGTTGCCAAACTGTTTCATTTTGTTTATTAGGGATGGAAACGAAAGTTTTCATTCGTTGTATGTATAACACATTCAAATTTACCTGTATATATTTATTGTTTTTTGCTTTGATATGGATTTCTTTACGATTTTATGAATCTCGTATGTCATTGTCAGAGAAAAAGACATGGTTATGTTTACGACTTAGTACTTTACCATGTTTATTATCGGAAGAATGTATTATTTTTAATGTAACTTGTTATTCAAACGGTAAAATCATTTTTCATGGTATCAATAATACAGCATATATAGGTAAGAAAACTTTTCAGCTTCAAAAAAATCGAATGATTGCTTTAAATGAATTTATTCAAACGAATTGTTTTATGTCGGATATTCAATCAATAAAAATTTTATTGCGTATTGAATTATCTCATAATAATAATCATTATGAAATATATTTTTGGAGAAATGATACTATTACTTATACTATATTAGCATCACTTTTAAATATTGATACATTATCATCTTACAAACATTGGTCAATACTATTACGTACTGCTCATATTTTATCAAATATTCAACAAAGAAAAGTATCTGAACATTCGATTAATATTAATTCAAAACCAATACAAAAATTTAAGCGATCATTAAAAAATCAAAATTCTATTAGATCAACTCGAACAAAACGAATGATGATTATACCAATAGCAGAAAGTTCATATAGAACAAATGATAATAATGATATTTTTCCAGATAACATGGGATTAATTGTGCCATCAATTCAAACATTAGGACTAATTACAGAAAAATTCAATGATGATGTTTGTTTTTCTTCTCAGGTAATTCAATCAAAATTTGATCTAATCGATGCTTGTCTATCTACAAATGATATTATTGGTGATAATCAATTTTATGCATTACGAGATCAATTTAAATGGCCTAATGAATTGATCGATTCACAAGGTAAGTTTAACTTCTATTTCAAGATTGGCTATTATCTCGTCGAGGTTTATTATATAATATGATTATCAAATATATTCAATAGTAGGTGAGAATTTTAGGATCTACAAATGCATACGTAAGTATTAATAGAGTTCAGATATATATATATATACAATCTTTGTATGTATTTATGTCGATGTCGATCGAATCGATTGTTTTGTCTTCTTTCAATTCCAACCTGTCTGTCATATATATGTGTCTATTGATTTGAATGAAGACACAAACGATTCTTGTAGACGGCGATTATCTATACGTAACAATCGATTGTATAAGAGTTAATTATTTAAGAATTTAATATCGATAGCAACAAAAAAAAAACAAATCATTGTGCTTCGATAAGAGAAATAGAAAAGATTATATCATCTAGTAAAAATATAATTCACAATATTTATTACATACATTTGTACACTTTGTAGCTACTACATCTTCGAATGAATCACTATTATCTACTCAATATGGTTAGTATAAGAAAAAAAAATAACGTTTATTGAAAGAATTACTTATTATGAATAAAAATTTATTTATGGAATTGTTTAATTTGTCCCTTTATAGAAACAGCAACATCGGAATCAACATCATATACAACTTTGATAAGCACTAGTGTTACTGAACAAACGACATTGAGTCCCGATGAAATATTAGGTTTGTTCTTATTGATAAACGACTGAAGAGAAAATATTTAAACGAAAAAAACCAAAAGGTTAATTTGATCTTAAACATGTCAAAGGCTAAATTTTATATAACATGACCACTTTTACAAGTAACAGTAATTCAATGAAACCTTCAGAATATTTATTATTAATTTTATTTTGAATTTTATCCTCAAAATCATTTTTTTCTATTGAAAAAACTATATCATCACAATAGATATCACTCTTTAACTGATTGGACACCGCAGTAAAAAAATAAGTTATTTCACATAAATTTAAATTTTGTAGCGGAGAATGCTGTTAACGATGTTGTCAACAATCGTAGCGAACTACTTGGATTAAATGATTCACGTATCACTGCGGCGCAAACATTGGTAGATAAGCTTTCATCGACTTCTTCTATCAAAGCAACACTTCAACAGAAACTAAACGATATTAAAGGTTGGATTCAACATAATTTTCAATATACTCTCTAAATGATATTGGAAACTAAGCATAGATTTAGCAAACATTTAAGCGATTTTGTTTTCAAACATAATTTTCACTCTGAATGTTTTCTATAAGTTACTCGACATCGATATAATCATTCTAGTTAAGCCGTTTAATTAATCTATTCTCCTCTCAATTTTCAGCTTCACTCGGCCAGACAACTATTTCATTCAATGGCACATCGGAGGCAGCTACAACAATCAGTTCTGTTAATACAATACTTCATACGACACTTAGCGCGTCCAATGAAACTGTACAGTCAACAGTCAGTACATCGGCTGAAACGCTCTACTCAACATCTAGTGGATCGAATGAAACAGTACAGACAACAGTCATTGCTGCTGAAGCGACGTTCCACACTACAACTGGTCCATCGAATGAAATCTTACAGCCAACAGTTAGCACATCAGGTGAGATGTTCCATTCAACTCTTAGTGGAACCAACGAAACAGTACAGACAACAGTCAGTTCAGCTGAAACGACGCTCCATGCTACAGTTGGTCTATTCAATGAAACTTCACAGTCAACAGTTAGCACATCGGGTGAAACATTCTACTCAACATCTAGTGAATCAAACGAAACAGTACAGACAACAGTCAGTGCTGCTGAAGCGACGTTCCACACTACAACTGGTCCATCGAATGAAATCTTACAGCCACCAGTTATCACATCGGCTGAAACGCTCTACTCAACATCTAGTGGATCGAACGAAACAGTACAGACAACAGTCGGTGCAGCTGAAACGACGTTCCATACTACAATTGGTCCATCCGACGAAACTTTGCAGTCAACACTTAGCACATCGGGTGAATCAAACGAAACAGTACAGACAACAGTCAGTGCTGCTGAAGCGACGTTCCATACTACAATTGGTCCATCCAATGAAACTTCACAGTCAACACTTAGCACATCCGGTGAAACGTTCCATTCAACTCTTAGTGGATCCAACGAAACAGTACAGACAACAACCAGTGCAGCAAATACAACGCTTCATACTACAGTTGGTCTATTCAATGAAACTTTACAATCAACACCTAGTACATCTGGTGAATCAAACGAAACAGTGCAAACAACAGTCAGTGCAGCTGAAACGACGTTCCATACCACAGTTGGTCCATCCAATGAAATCTTACAGTCAACAGTTAGCACATCGGGTGAAACGTTCTACTCAACATCTAGTGGATCGAATGAAACAGTACAGACAACAGTCAGTGCAGCTGAAAGGACGTTCCATACCACAGTTGGTGTATCTAATGGAACACTGGATACAACGATTGGTAATTATACACGTAAATATGTCAATTCATTTAGTATTAGTAGTCTTAACTATTGAGTGTGGGTAGATGTTTCTGATAATCGTCGAAGCACAACTTTTTTATTTTTTTTTTGTTGCCTTTGCCAGGCAGAAGCGCTGCTATGGATGCATTGTCATGATCCAGGACTGAATCAACTAAGACACACATATGACAGACAGGTTGGAATCAGCCCACTTGACAATGCATCTGATGTGGTACTCGTTTTTTTAATTATTGAGTTAGAAATATTGCATATTTATTAATAATATTTTGAATATGAGTAGGAGCAGAATCTACCACAAAATAATGGTCAACAGAATCACTAAATAGGTAATTTATTATTGTATATTTTCAAGGATAACATCGTCTAGGAGCAGTTGTTCATAGTGTTACATTGTCAACAACGTGTATTATCGGAAACTGTGGCAATCTTATTTCAAATAGTGAAGAAACCGCAGATGTCTCGACGTAGGAAAAATTATTTCTTTTCTTTTTTATCTGTAGCATTTTTTGAATGACATTATAAGAAAATCTTATTCTCATAAGTTTAAAACAAAGTTTACTTTCTCTTTTCAAAGCTCTTCCTCAACATATGATAATAGCACTGCTTTGCACATGGCGGTGCAAACCGATATCACACCAACTAATCGATAAGTAAGAGTATCTCGTCACCCTAGATTGCCTGTTTTTCTATTTTTGATATTTAGATGATATATAATATGACGGGGCTGTTTTTCTGAAAAACACAAATACATCATTCAAGGAAATGTACCCATCTTCTTGTGAAAGATTCTATCAAATGGAGTCAATGCATTCCTGCTGTTGAAAAAATGCTTGAAATAATAGCATGCACGCAGTGGTATTTTTTAGAATTAAATGAATCTTTTATCTATGGTGACAAAATAATCAATTTTCATGTGGATGATTTCACGAGAACTATTTTAGGGTTTTTATTGTTTTATATTCGACTTTCTTTTCTTTATACTCATGATTATAAAAAAAAAATAGAGAAATTATTATTTCAAAAAAAATTCTTGATGTTTTACGCAAAAACACAGAAAAAGCAATGAACATGCACATAATCGCGACTAAAAGGATCTCTAAGAAAAACTATGTTATTTTAATTTTATGTTAATTTCGATTTTCGGAATGATTTCTCGAATATTCTAGAAAATAATAATGATTTAAAAGAAGTCTAATTAGTTTGTAGAATATCAATTTTACGGGTTTCGGTTATGAGAATGAAAGGAGACTCAGAAATCGATCTAGAAAAAATTCGTAAACTTTAGAAATTACAGTAAACGAAATCTTCATTCGTTAGTGACAGAAAAGAAAAGAAAACAAAGATTTTCACTGCCTGTGTTTCCCTTTAACAACTCTAGTAGTTTACGCAGCATCACCATACGTGTTTTTCTATCAAAAGGTTAGAAAATTATTCGTTAATTACATTTTAATTAATTAACTAATTCACTAATAAATTTGACTTGAATGTGAACTCAAACAGCTAACTTTTCTTACGTATATTTATGGTAAAAGTGAACATATACAACAATTGAGATGAGAACGGAATATTATATGTATTCGCAGGGATGTGGCGAAGAAAAAAATGTGGATGCAGAAGTGGAACATTTGTTTTTTTCATAAAAGTAATGATTTTTGTGGGGAAAAAATGAAAATTTTCTTAAAGTAGGGAGCTGTGGCTCCTGCATATACGTACTTAGTTGAGTTATTTGCTTTTGACTGTAATAATCTTTATTGCATTTTGATCAGAAAATTCGAAATAACAGTTCAATAGACAAACAGATTTTTCACTTCTTTTTTTCAAAAGAATTGTTTTCTATTATACACATTTATGCATTAGAGAAACAAAGTTTTATGAACAATATAAGAGAATCGACAATGCTTATACTTTCAATATTTTTTTCCTTTATATGCCTTGAAAAAATAAAAATATTTGTAAATGAATAAAATCTTCAAAATTTATTTACTTCATAAACAAAAAACGAATAAATGAAGTATGTCGAAATTAATTGAGAGAGTCAAAATATTTTTCTTTCTTTATTTTTTTTTTTGTCTTCTAAAAGAAAAAGAACATTTAACGTTTTTCTTCATGTTCTGCATCAAAATATGTTAACGTGCAGCCTGTAACGAAAGTGTCTTTCAATAAAGTGTGCACATGACGACGTTGAAGTAAACGAAACAACACATATATATTTGAATAAAATATAAGTAATTGCCACTTTGAATGGCTACAAGAAATCCTACAGATTTCAAACGGTTCGTTTATCGTTCATCTGATAAAAACAACAAAGCTTATTTGGTACCAAAAAATGAACCTAGATCTCATGTTTCATCAAAAAGCTTAGAATCACAGACATCATCATCCACAAGAATACTGCAATCTTCTTCAATAATGAAAGTTTCACCAACACCACAAAATACATCGGCCGACATGAATACACCACGTACAGAAACAACAGCAGTACGACGTGTCATTGTTGTACGTAATACAAGTAATCCTCAAGTTAAAGGAGGACCAGTTGATTTAGGTAATTTTGGACAACCTGATTCACCGAGAATTCCTCCAATAGTTACTGATGGAGTAAGTATTGTATTTTATTAATTAGGTTTTTCTTTGGTTATATACATAAGAGTATATTTTAGCATAAATCAATTTATCTTATGCGACGTTCCGTTGCACCATCAAAACCAGTTGATTAATGATATAATTTAATAAGTAAAAGATACTTTCTTATTTTCTTTTTCTTTTTTTGGTTTCTATTTGTTTTATACGATTCATCGGTTTGTTAATAAAATAGACCAACTGACTCTTTGTATTGATCATGGAAGTGTTTTAAATTTATTTTCTACTATATGCATACATTAATAAAGTGACAAGAAATAAAATGATGAGCATGTCGAATTCTAACAAATTGGTTAATAAGTTCATTTGAAGAAAATAAAGATTTTAGTTTTTGATTTAAAACTTTCACAAGAACCTTATTCTTTATTTTAATTATAATAAGAAAATTCACAAAGTCATGTAAGAATGATAGATTCGACGATTAGATTTTTTTACATATGCATATATTTTTATATGGAGTCTCCTGAGGTTACCAAGGTTGCGGCTCGACCTTTGTTGTGGGTATTAATAAGCAAAGATTAAGGAATAATTTTCGACTAAAATGAATACTGAGTGATATCAAATCCTAATGATATTACAATATTATGATAGCAATTCAAAATAAACAAGTCGAAATATTATCAACATTTATATGAAGATATTAAGATTGAATATTCAAATGGTTGTTATATCGTATAGCTATCTTTTGTGAATTATAACCTAGAAAAAGTGTGGAAATATAGCAGTAGAAATTGCGGCACCATTCTCCCACAAATCGTAACAGACACTTGAGCAACATCCATTGTTCATCACAATCTGTGACAGACTTAGTCACAAAATTAAATCTTTTTGCGAGATTAAGTTGAAAGAAGAATAGCATCTTTCAGCACAAATGTATCCGTACGTTGAAAGCCACAAACTAAAGCATATGTCGAACAAATCTTTGATTTACAATATACACAGATTCATTGTGTTTTGAAATTTTAATCCTTCAGGATTGCGCTAATAGTTTTTATTTTGAGTTTTGACATGGAAAATGAATTTTTTTTATTGCATGCTGTATGACATTAATTAAGATGAACACGTTTTCATCATTAACTCTATGAGTCAATAATTCGCCTTTGTTATCTTACTTTATCTATCCTATTTCATATAAATTTATACGATTATATAATTTCTTGTTTCAATATGAAATTTTCTACTTTAACCATTATCTGTGTCGTGTTTTCCTCTGATAATATTACATTTATGGCAATGTACAAAGAGTCAGAACTGACTCACAGTTGGTACAAAAATTTATCATTCGTTTTCTTTTCTTTTGGCACTCTGTTGCAACGAAATATCATACAGACTAACAATGTAACCGTGACGGTGAGTCAACAGCTCACAATATAACAGTGCACTATTCGAAACATGCAACGGTTAACTAATGGTAAGGACTATTTGGCTTGGAAGGGAAAGTAACGTTTTGTCTCACTTTTCCTTTACGGACTCCGGTTGTCATAGTCCGTTACGATCTCTGAACATAAGAAAAAAGACAGGATGTTCGCAATGGAATTGCCGATGACAAAATCAATAAAATGCAACAAAAGACAGGTTGTTCGGAATGAAGTTTGTCTAGGAATTCGTAACGATATCTAACAACCTATTTTTAGCAGTTGAACAGTGGAATTTTTACTGAAGATCGGAATGAAACGATCCGGAAGTTCGTAATGACAAAGACAGGGTGATCGTAATAAAGACCACCAGATCTTCGACATGAAAATGACAGGATATTCGTAACTATCTATCTTGGGATATAGTTCTTGTAATATTCTGAAGTGACATGTTTGTCTTCTAAGATGGCTGATTAAGAACATCTTAAAGAATACAACCAATCCAGACTGCTGACTTTTACTATTCTAAAGTCTAGTTGAAACAGGAAAAAACAAACTGTCTTTATTCACTTTTTACATTTAGATTTGAGTAGATACACAATTTAATATCATAATAAGAATGAAATGTACAGATCAAAATTTTCAGTATATTTATTTTTTCATACGTTTGTGTTTCGTACTACCGTTTGCAGCTTTGACTAGTTTTGCATTGGCTGACGTAGTGGAAATGCAAACGGAAAAAAGACAACAAATATTAGTGTTTTCATCGTTCAAAAAGAGCAAAATACTTACATGTATAAGACAGGTTTGCCATCAATCATTGAGTGAAAAAACGAAGCCTGTCAATAAAACTATTCGTGATGGTGTCAGTGAAATCAATCAACAAATTTATTTATTAAATCAAATATTAGAAGTCGATGATATTGAACTTGATGACTACCTTATGTCACTTTCAACATTAGTTGGTATGAAATACGATCAATGGCGTAAAGAAAGAAAGAAAAGTGGCAGATCCGATGATTCTGATGATTAAACACGTATTTGTTTATGAATTTTCTTTTTTCTTTTTCTATTTATTGCTTTCTTTATTTTGAATGACACCTAGTCGTGTCTATAAAAGCAAAACGAAGTCTTGCTATGTGCTACGATCCTCCGGTAAATTCTTTTACGGGCATCCTGTCAATGTCATTACATTATTCCGACCTTTGTCTCCAAAAAATAGCATTAGACATGCATTCCGAACACCTGATCTTACTCGTTACAATCTCGAGTCCTACATCAGATACAACAATTAACATTTTGTTCCGAAAATCCGGTTGCAGTATTCCGATTTCCCTACTTTTCAATTACGGTCTCCTGTACAGAAACATTTACGAACTCCGGTCATTCACTATTCATATACAGTGGGTACCAAAATTGATCAACCACCTTAATCAATTTTTTTGTTTTGTTCATACCTCAGAAGCTAAATAAGCTAGAACCGTCTGGTTTTTGTCATATACTAGTTCATGGTCTGTAGTCTNAGAAAATGGTTTTTATTACAGATGCAGTAATCACATGGAAGATAGTATATGAAAGTAAAGACAATACGAAGCATGTCGCATTTCTTAATGATAAGCTACTCACTTGAATCAAGCTTCAGATAAAAACATCTGATAAGAAAATGAGAAATGACGTAAGAAGTTGGTAAACTTGTATCTTCAACAAATTAAGAAAGGCAAAATATTCATCTTAACCTTACTGCTTAGCGAAGGTGCAGGCATGATTGAAATATATATTTACAAATCTGTTGTGACTAAATTGATGAGTAAATTGTCAACCTGGGTCGATAACTGTTTTCGAGAGAGTATGAGATAGTCAGCTACACCAATATTCCAACAAAACAAAATTCTGATGAGAATCTCAAGTGTACTTTAGAACTCTTTCAGGGTGTGGGAGTAGAGTGTGGCTGTATGTAGACGATGTGTTGTTGAGGATGTGGGTTGCTCTGGAGTGTGAGTGTAGATATGAATCAGTAAAATGGTTGGTTCCAAAGATTCAATAAGACTAGGATGATAACTGGTGAATTTCACTTAATAGTACTGGTAATAAATAATATAGAAATAAAATATCATCGAATAAAACACTTCATGACATAGTGAAAAATTTGAAGAAAATTCTAATAGAATTCATTTAAAAGCAGAATGCTCAAACGATTCATATTGTATTTAAAACAACTCTTAGTGCAACACCTCTACGGTTAAAATGGTTTTTCCATGTAACTCTGTGCGGGAATATAATAAGACGTTGATCTCCCACAATAAAAAAGTCGAAGAAATGTATTTTGTGATTGACAACTATGGTAATTATTTAATAGATCTCAATGATAAATAAAATGAGCTGTCCTAGACACTTTTAGTAAACCACAACGTTCATCACTCTGCGAGTATTTTCTATGAGATCAGTACTGATTTCTCGCTAACGTATTTTCATCATCTTCAGTTGAGGTCTAATTCTCTTTTTACTATTTCTTTTAATAGTCAAGGAAATTTAGTCTAGTGATTTGTGATTTAATTTCAAGATAAACAATCCAGATCAAATGGTATAGACATTATTTTTCACTTATATTTGAGATGCCAATGAGTAACAATCCTGATATTTTGAAGGTTACATTAGGTCTCTGATTATACTTCAACACTTCTTTTAGATCGTGTTTTCACAAAAATGTACATCAATGTGCCGATGAATATATTGAAGTTTTTTTTTATTCATTTCTTGACTTTTTTCTTTCGTACATAAATTACTATTCAGAACAAAGTCAAATAAAAAACAATTTTTTTCTCTTTTTTCAATTATTATTATTACATTGTTGTTACTGAGTATTTTAAGTGTTCACTTATTTTCTGTGTTAAATAATATATGTTTTCATAATATTAATGAATACAATATTTCATGAATTAAAATATGATTGTTTTTAATCAATAAAATTTCCAATTATACAAATATTCTAGTCGGTGAGAAGGCTACATGTAAAAAAAGAAACGAATCTGATTATCAGAAGTAGATAGCAATGTATTTATACTTTTATCTGCTTTGTATTTTCATAATAAACAAACGAACAATTACTAAACTTATTAAACTAAGAAGAAAAAATTAATATTGTCCGTACTGTTTTACATGTATGAACATGAGTTACGCCCAACATTATGAGAAAAAAATGGCATTAATCGAGCATGCGTGTGGCGACGTTGAAGTGAATGACAACGAAATAAAACATTGTTTTGCATATGTTGATGTATGTGTTCGTATGGATTATAGATGGTTGTCGCCTTGAATGGCTGTAAGGAATACTATTGACAGCAACAGTTTTCTCCTTCATTCACCTAATAAAGAGCCTGAAACTCATTTTATTCCAGCAAATGAATCTGGATCTAGTGTTTCAACGAAAATTTCACAGCCACCACCATCGACAACAGTCCGGTCGGCCGATGCGACAACACCACGTACAGAAGCTACACCTCTAACACGACGTATTGTTGTTATACGAAATACAAAATATCATCAAACTGATCAAGGATCGGTTGATTTAGGTGAATTCGGAAGATCTAATTCCGTTGAAGTTTCTCCAGCAATTAGTGATGGCGTAAGTGTTTTATTCACTCATCACATGTTCTGTTCTATATTAAAGTAAATATTCTAGAATAAATCAGTTTATCTCATTCGACGACCTAGAGCACTCGACTCATCAAGATTAGTTGAGTTCTACCAAACAGTTCAAGAGCCATCACCTACTACTCCTTTACAACATACACGTACACCTACTGCTACTTTAGAGCATACACGTACACCTACTGCTGCTTTACAGAATACACGTATACCTACTGCTACTTTAGAACATACACGTACACCTACTGCTACTTTAGAGCATACACGTATACCTACTAATACTTTAGAAAACTCATATATACCCACTATTACTTCAGAACAAAAACGTACGCCTACTCCTCCTAAAGAAATTTTAACTTCATCTGATCAACCTCGATCACCAAGCCCACGTCATTCACCACCTATACGTCCGAAAACTTCGAAACGTTCAACATCACCTACACAAACTGAAAACATTCAACGTTATGCACCATATCTTAGACGTTCAAGATCAAAAGTTCGAACACCAAGTCCCACTCGTATAAATTCTATACGTACAGCATCATCTGCACATCGTACACGTCCACCAACTGTAAAACAAGAAGAACCTCCAGGTAAGCATTGCTTTTCCACGATAATTCTCATCATCTATCATTTGTTTCTTTTTTGTTTTTTTTTATAGAGACTGATCATCAACAAAGTTTTGTCACATTGTATTCATTAACAAATACAACTGAATTAGATAATTTATCATCTCCTGTTAGAATTGAAAATGACCAACAAGCAATACAAAATCATCGACCACCAACATCAAAAAGTCGTCGACGAAAAACAACAGCTAGTGCAAGAACTAAATCAGCTAAATCTGTTGTACTCATTAATCCTGATGAGCAATCAATTGCTGTTATTGAAAACTCATATGTACAAGAAGAGTCAACAAGATCAGCAGTAAAACGTTCAAAATCTATGAAAAAAACTCGATTTCATGGTAGAAATGTATGTATATAATAAATAAATAAATATACGAAAAATATTTATTACAATAATAGAATGATCAATCAACTGAAAATTTATTTAAAAAATCTCAATCGCAAGGATGTCTTGGTTGTTTATCAAGACATATGTGTTTAATTATAATTATTTGTTTTATTATTATTCTAATCGGTTTAGCCGGTGCTGGTGTTAGTGCTTATTTTCTTGTTACGAGTAATTTTACTAAACTACATTCAACTATTTAAAGCTTAAGACTTTATGTTATTCTAGATTCATCAAATAATACTATTCCACAAATCGTTGGCATTGTAGTCGGTGGAGTTATAGCTATTGCTGCTTTATGTTTTTTATATATTGTACTTGGATGTATTGGTACACGTGATGGATATTTTACATATAATGATAATGATGATGATCGACATATTGGTGGTCGAGCATTTGCACTTATACCTCCATCACATCCAAATGCTCATTTATATATTCCACGTGATTATATGAAATTAGTTGAAAATAACCATTCATTGTCAAAAACACAAATAGCAACAAGACCTACTTCAAATGTTGTCTATGGTCAATCATCATTAATGACACCTATATCAAGTAAACCATATATTCAACAACAAACAATTAATAGATCAAATTCATCTGGAGATGGATTAGAAAATAAATCCAATAAAGATAATATTACTATTGAAATGCCTGAACGTCTTGTAACAGGAAGACAAATGTCACCAAGATCACGTGAACGTAGTTTAAATAAAGTTGTTAAAAATATTGGTCATGTTGTTGAAGATGCAAAAAAACGATATCATGGAGATATACCAACAAAAGTTATTGTTCAAATCAATAATAATGCTACACAAACTGCATAGAATTTATTTAACAGTTTTTTTTCTACCATGTGGAAATGATTTTTAAATGTATTCTTTTTTTTTTTCGTCTTATTTAAATGAAATTATTCATTGAGAATCTATTCTGTTTGTTTAATAAACAATATTTTTGTCTTGGTTAAATTTATCATCAAACATATATGTTCATTATTCTCATAATTATATCACTTATTAAAAAGTTCTTTGTATGTCAGTAACAATTCATATGTGATTATCCAATTGACGGATGATTTTTTTTTTACCTGAGTGAAAATAAATACGAAGGCTGACTCAAAGATGGAACCGATGGTCTCGGTTTTAATTATGATTGGTATTAATCTGAATAAGTCAGGTCGAACTGAACCAGTCGCTCTATCGACAGATCATTTAGTCTAAAATCCGTAGTATTTCTATCTTTACATAGTCTCATTTGATGTGATCAATAGCGGAGAAAAAATTCCCCGCACAAGTTTATCTAATAAAAGCAGAAAAATAAATAGATTAGATCGATTACCGACCGGTCTGAAATCCGTACCGATTCCATGTTTGGTTTGACTTTCTTCTAGTACGATTAAAATACATGATTTCCTATTGAAAGATTATTTTTTTTGGTATCTCTTTTAAGGCGAATAAAGATTAAAATTCTATCTTATAAAACAATAAATTTTTCTTGAAATATTCAAAATTTGTAATTCAATTTTAATCTGAATAAAAGCAAAAAAGAAATAATTTCATGACCATTGATATTTTATGTTTGTGTTTTATAGAAAATTTCAATTAAATTGTTTCATTTATTTATATAAAGAATTCTATTCAATTGTTTATATGAATTATAAAGAAAAAACTTTAGTTTTTCTTTCTTTTTTTTTTTTCTTTTTGTAATTTAGTTGAACATTTGTTATTATTGTTCATATCAAGTACATTAAATTGATCATTGCAATGGATATGTAGCATATAAATATAGAAAAGATGAATGATAGACAAGTGTTCAAGTGAGTGTAATCGAGCGGCAGATTCGTTTGTTGATCTTGAGGGATGTATGCATGTCGGGTAGCCAGAGGGTTCACTAACATGATGGCCAAGTATGTCACAGTAGTTTCTAATTGAATTCAATTTGTCTTCTATTAAGCTTATGCACAACTATTTCTCGTTTTTCATTTTTATAGTTTTTTTTTTTATTTTTATTCAACTATATAAATACTTTTACTTGTACTCATAAATGAGACCAATTAGAGCAAAAGAAAAGGTTTATTGTATAGTAAGTGAATGAATAAGAGACACACTTGATGAACACAATTGCTATTATTATTATCAATCTAAATGCTGTTTTATCATGAAGGAAATCGAATAGATTTTTTTTTTCCTTCTTTATTTTGTCTATACAAGAAAATAATTAAATGGCCAATGATGTTTCTATTTATTATTAATCATATGTTGTCATAGTAATTCAAGTTAAGTCGACTTGTTTTATAATAAATGTTCAAATGAATATATGATGAGTGTTTACATCTGTTATTTCTTTCCGTTAAAAATCAATGTTACATAGTTATTAAACCTCAAGAAAAGAAAACTTTTCACTTCTATTTCTTGTTCGATTAGATTTTAAAAGATATTATTTTGCCAATAGGTATATATGTCGGCATAGACATTTCTTTGAATATTTGATCACTCATTTTCTTTTTCTCTTAAATGATGACAAACAATCATTTCTAAACATAATAAACTTTTGATTCCGATCGGAAATGATCTAGATATCGAGTCTTTTTCTTTAACAATTGATTGTGAAAAAAAAAGAATAATACTTCTTCTTACTATTTAACAAAAGAAAAAGTCTTATGTATATATTTCTTTAAGTTATCGTTTCTAATCTAACACAATTGTCGTCTATTGACACACATCATGTGTCTAGATTGCTGAGAAAACGGGTCATCTGGAGTAAAAGAGAGAGAGAGAGAGACAGAGAAGGGAAATGAACTTTTCAACGGCAAGTCATGTGTACTCATAAGACATATAAACTCTCCTACTGTGCCGGAGAATGTAACAATCATTATTCTCTTCACGTTAGATTAGATATATGCAAGATAGGCCTGCAACGAAATTTTATTTTTGAGAAGAACTTAAATCAGTTTTCTTTTTTTGTTAACTAGAAAAATATCTCATTTAAATAAACTACAAGAGATAAATTATTTTTAAATATATTTTCAATCTCGATTTTTTTTTTTAATTTTTAGTGTATATATATTATATATATGTATATAAAAAGAAAAATGATTACTTAAAAATGTTTAAGTGTATTATGTTGAAAATTATTATTTGTGTCTGATGATAATTTTGTTGGTAAAAGTGCTTGTGGCCGATGAAGACCAAAATGATAATCATTAATAGAATTATTTGATGATATACTTGATGATGGTGATGTTGTAACAACAGATGCAGCTAAACTAGCTGATAACATACTACTATATGGATAATGTGTTGATAATGCAGCTGCATATGCAAGTGGATTATAAGCAAATGTTGCTGGTGAAAAATCAGTTAATTTTCCTGTTGTATATGGATAAAGTGATGATGGTGTTGTTGCTTGAGAAGATAATATTGAACGACATTTTTCAAGATTAAGAGCTAATGATTCATTTAATTGTTGTTGTATATTTGTAGAATTTGATAAATCATTTGAATCTTTAGTTGTTGATAATGATGCAAATGAAAATGGATATGGTTCTTTTTTTATTAATGATTTTGGTTTACGTCGTGGACGATATTTATAATCTGGATGTTCTTTCATATGTAATGAACGTAAACGTTTAGCTTCATCAATAAATGGTCGTTTTTGTTCATCATCTAATAATTTCCAATCAATACCTAAACGACGACTTATTTCACTATTATGCATTTTAGGATTTTCTTGAGCCATTTTACGTCGTTGTCCACGTGACCAAACCATAAATGCATTCATAGGACGTTTTATATGTTCATTTAATGATGAATTAGAATTTGATGATTTATTTACCATATTTATAACAGGATGAGAATGAAATAGATTAGCTAAAAGACATGAAAAAGAAATAAACAACAACAATATTGTTTTCTAATCTTTTATTCTTTCTTGTGAATATATTATAATACTTACACATCATGCTTAAATATCCAAGAATCTTTATTGCTTATCTCATACACAATAAAAGCATTGAAAAAAAAAACCTATTATATTATACGACAAGCGAAGAAAAAAATTGTTTTCTCTCCCCCTTTCTCTCTCTCTCTCTCCCTCTCTCTCTCTCTCTCTATGTATATACAAAGCGAAACATAATGACTTGAACTATGTGCTGTGCACACTAATAGAAGAAGAGGAGACCTTTTTCTTGTCTTTTCTCGTCAACGCTTAAAAAGTGTTATTCAAATAGAGACAGCCAAGTGGAAGAGAGAATGAGCAAGCAATAATAATAATAACAATAAGAATAATAACAACATCGACGAACTATTTTTTCCCTCCAATGGAAATTGAAGAATACAAACGAACAAGAGAAAAAGAAAAAAAGAAAATTAAAAATCGTCATTGGCCATTCATAGCGCTTCTTTTCGCTTATTTCTTTCTTTTTCTTTTATTCTATTCTCTGTTGTTGCTTGTTCGGAAGAGAATAAAAAAAAGTAGCGATGCCCAACAACAAAACGATTACAATATGTGTCTATTGGTCTTTGAATAAGCAAAAAAAAAAAAAAAGGAAAGAACAATTCAGAGTATTTGATATAATGAAGGTTTACATCAACCGTACTTTTGAATAAGTGCATAAGAAAAATAGAATCGAGAGTAATAATCGAATGCATACATTAATCGTTAGCTTGTTTCGATTACCTAAATATAATAGGAGAATAAAAAATTTACAATCTACTCCTTCTATGAATAAGAAACTTATTTTTATTATAATATCGATTAGAATATTATTCATTTTTTATTAATCTTTTCTTTTTTCTTCGTTTTACACTACAATGACAATTTTCTTGTATACTTTTTTTTTTTTAATCAATTAAATTTCTTTTTTTGATTGTTGAATTGAACTTTTACAGATACTTTTCATTGAACAAAAAAGCAAAAGAAAACTACAATTCGTTGTTAAGAAAGAAAAAGAGAAGATGAAGAAGACGAGTTGAACGGAAGTAAGCATCGAAGACGGATAGCAACGGAAGCGACTTATTTAGCATCGACAAAGAAATTACAGTTCTCTAGTTTTTTTAGCTTCTTCTTCTTCAATGACGAACAAGAATAATAGAATAATCATAAAGCCCGGACGCACACACACACACACACACAGACACACATGCATGTTTCTGTTGTTTGCCTGTCCAAACCCAAGAGCTCAACCCCTCACCAATCACGGGTCTATTCAATGGTCAATGATTTTGCAAAAAAAAAAAAAAAAAAAAAGAAAGAGAAAAGAAATAAAATGAAGATGATGATGCGAGACAGAGAACGTGACGATATGTATGTATGGCTGTAATCAAATTGCATTTGGACATACAGCTTCAGGCTGCTGTAATTGGTTTGAAGAGTATAGATAGAGAGAATTGACGACTGTTAGTAATCATGAATGAAGATGATTGATTATTATTATTATTATTTCTTCTTCTTTTAAAGCCTCTAGGGGTATTACATTGATACTTCTTTCGTTATTTTTTTATACATTGGTCGCTTATGTCAACATGGAAATATATAAACAATTTTTCAATAAAAAAAAAAAAATTCTGATGTTTATTCTCTAATCTGTTATTCAAGTGACTTAATCATATATGTTGAGAAAGTTTAACTCCACCTTTTCTTATTAATCCATACCATTTCGTTTTGAGATCATTAGTTAGGTTTCTATTTACTTGTTCAATACAATGTTTGCTAATAAGAATAAGAAAAAGAAAGATTAGACGAAAGAAAAATTTGACACCTGATGAGTTTTTTTTTTTCTTTTCTTGAGAAATAAAGAAAAACAAACGAATATAATTCGACATTCATGAATGAGTTTTTAAAATAATGATTACAATTGATTATCTAAATTTATAATCAATGAATAATCTCTTCTTTTTTTTCTTTTTTTTTGTTTGATAAACATAAAAAAGTGAAATCAATCGTGAACAATCAATTCAATTTGAATACAAATAATTCTGTCGGTTTAGTAAAAGAAACTAGTCGAACATAGAATTGCTCTATTGAATATTGATTGATGAAGTGAAATATTTGGTTTTGATATATATATATATATATATGAAAATCTGTTTCAATCAAACTTATAATCTATGGAGAAAAGAAAAAGATTTCATTTATTCGTTTGATAAATCATCTATTCATGATGATATTACTCTTTTGATAGAATAATGATAAATTATTAATGTTCTTGTCTTTTTTGTCAGTGTTAGTATTGGCACATCGTGACATAAATAATGTATTCTTTTCCAAGTGGTACTTAACGCATAGAAACATTTTAGTAGTAATAAAAAGGATAAGACTTGAAAGAGAATTTCTTTCGTAATTTAGTATGAAGGACATATAATTTCAATTTCTCGTTCATTGAACATTATTTGAATAGAAAAATTTAGCACAGAGTATTTAATAAGGATCTTACTATTTAATAGCTTACATAGTTAAACAGCGTATATTTAATCAACAGAGAATTTATTACACAACAAAAATATTTATTTTATTTTTCGAATAACTACTTCTTCTTGTCAGAGATATTTTCCCAAATGATTAATTGTTTTTCAATCAAGATAGTGTAGTTTTTGTGGTATTGTTTAATTCAATGCCTTGATTATCCACAGAAACATTAATAAAAATAATTTTCAAATAGAAACAAATCAAAATTTATACAAAAGTTCACTTAGAAATTCGAGTATCAATTTTTCTAGTATTCTTAAGATGAACCATGGCATATTTAGTTAAAAAGCACGGTAAAAATGCAGTATTTTCATAACAATAAATTAAGGATGTTAGTTCTTTTCAACGTATCTATAATTCATAAGGCTCTACATGATGCACATAATCTCGATTTAAATGCGATTAATCAATTGAGAGGCTTCGCTCGTCAATGTAAATTTGAATAGAAATACATTCATTCAAAAATTCAGTTGCGAAATCTTATTTGTCTTTTCAGACTCCTTATTGACATTTGAAAAGTCTTTACACATTAAAACGAGTACTAAATATTAACGATTACAGACTTTAGTGCTCTTAGTATTGACAGTTAGGTCAAGATTTTTGTTACTTTTATTCTATAAATGAACGATTGATGTTATTGTTAAATACCTTGCAGAATAAAATGTATTTCAAAATTAGACTTATCTAATTTGGAATTGAATCTTATATTGTTGAATAGAGACTTCAATACTGATCTAAATATTCTTAAGATAACGTTTAATAGGAACTCTCTTTCGTTCTGAACATAAAGATCAACATGACTTCGATTTTGTTTTTATTCAATGTTTTGAACTTGAAACATTAACAATTTTGCCGAAGTGTGAGAGCGGATCTTCTTGAACCTATATCCGAAAATACTTGTGCTATATTAAGTGATAATAAAAGAAAAGTAATCATCAATATTGTAAAAAGTTATAATTTTATTGATTCGTAGTTGTTGAAAATGTTGGTTATGAATATTTAGTGTGTTAATATGTATATGAATCACATGATTATTTAACCAATGAATTATTATTACTACGCATTATAGTAACAGCTAAATAAATTGAAGAAGGAATATATAATTATTGACACAGAGGCTTGTTTTACATTTTGAAGTAATTCTTCGACGTTGATATATCTTCAGACGATTGTACATTAACTTTTTACACGTAAATATTGTGTAATTTTCAAAAGACGAAATAATATTATCAAGAACTTCTTGATGAATCTGCACAACCTTTGGTGATTGAATTTAATTTTTTGGAAATAACTTGGTCTATGTGCATTCACTTAACTATGCTATTCGAAGTATGACTGCATTAGGATTCCTTATTTCTCATAAGTTTTGCAAACTAATCAGCGAGAAAAAATGGTTGACTTATTTTATTCATTTGAAGTACTTGAGACTAAGATTCATCTCAGTTTTATTCAGTATATGAAACTTTTCTTGAATGAATGAAGCAGATTTTAAAAACTTTTTCTTCGGAATGAAATTTTCTATTTTCGAGTTTATTGAAATATATTTCAGTGTATTCTTAATTGAAATCAATGATATATAGAATGGAATTTAAACTCAATTACTATTGTTATTCATGCAAAAAGTAAAAATCTTATCCTTAAAAGTATTATCAAATGTATACACTTGAAAATAAATCTTTAACGATAGTAAAAGAAAAAAAAATTAGTTTTTCAAAATTATTCTAGAAAATTGACTGTACATGATATGTAATTTTCTATTCATAAATACTCATGTGATTGATTATGACAAGCAATATTTCTCAAATGTGCTAAATCTAAACGAAAGAATAGTTAATAAATATTTTTTTCATGTTTGTAAATTATTTTTATTTACATATAGATGATAGTTAATATTAATTAATATTAATCCTACATGTACATATCAATTATTAACAAAAACTACAAATAAATCACCACTATTACCTTAACATGTATTTTATTTCTATCCGGTAAGCTACAAAATTAGAATCATTTGTCAAAGAATCTTCATTTAATGTTAGTAAATATGTGAAATTCAAAATCGAATTTTTTGGAATTAATAATAATGAAAAAGGAAGAATAGCTATTATTATTCTTATTTTCAATTAAATTTAAATTGTAGGAGGAATACAAAGTTCGATAGTTTGTCTTCGTTGAATTGTTGTACCCGTTAAATAATGTGTTCCAACAACAATTGGTAATTTTGATCTAATTGTACTTCTATCAATAAAATAAGCTTTTGTTAACGCATGTTCAGCAATGCATCACATAAATGTCTTCCTGATTTTTTTTATAATGAAATCAACCAATCTCAAGCATTATTTGCTGTTGCTGCTGCTTCTCCTCTACTAATAATTCGTGATGTAACAACAATTTATATATAATAAACACAATTACATGTGAAATAGTAGAATCAATGATATAAATAAAAAAAATACATAAATAATAATTTGAGTCTTTTTCTTATGCTACAATACA